CGAGTCCGCAAGCCCCGGGCGCGAACGCAGGGGAGGAGCGAGCGGGGGAGGCCGGCCCGAGCCCGGCGTGGGAGGCTGGGGGCGGAGGCAGAGGCCGAAGACTAAAAAGCCATCAGAATCGCGGCGTAGACCGCCCAGTCAGAGACACCCGGAAGATCGACGTGACCCCGGATGGGAACAGCCCACCAGAAGCGAAAGGTCACACTTCCGGTGGGGGCCTCAACCCTTTCCTTCGCTCTCGGTGACCGAAGGCGCACGCGCGTTCTCCGTTTTCCCAGTTTGCTTGGTTTCCGGGCTTAAGTACCGCGCGAGCGAATCGGGAGTAGAACTTGCCCGGAATGGAGCGGGAACGAGGCCTTGGCCGAAGGCTCCGCGTGCAGCAGTTGCCTCGTTCCCAAAGTTGTAGTCCCGCAGCCTTTGTTCTCATAAACATGTTCTGTTGATCCTGCCTATCAGCTTATTCAGGGAATGGCGGATGCCACGGACGCCACTTGAGGGGGTGGTGCCAGTGTGCAAATCGCCTTTATAGTTTCCATTGCCGGCTCTGAAAAATCATTCAGCGATTTAAAATTGTCATTTGCTGTTTTTCCTAGACCAGCCATTGCATCCCAGTGGCTCCTCCCCCGAGAAGCAAGCATTGCCGAATGCCGTTCTCCGTTTCCACCCACGCAAGATTGATTGCCTCGAGTCTATTCCCACTTGTCGCGACCCTGTACACAGACTAGAACTGCCTCGGAGGGTTTCCGAGTCAGCTCATCTGTACTGTGGCAAACTGCCAGATCTTTCTCCGCAGCAGCAGTTAGTGAGTTCAAATTGCTAACCTTATCTGTCTCAAACTATGTAACAATTGTGCCACCAGGACCCTTTTACCAGCTTATTAGTAAACTTTGTTTCTTGACTCCGCTGAGCTGAGTGTTCTTGGAGAGGAGTCTAGACCTAGCACTCTGCCCACAACAACTAAAATTCACTAATTCAATAAATATGTATATTTCTTCTTGAAAGTACCACTGAATGGATTCCAATTTGCAGCGACCCAATATACACTGCCCAGTCCTGTGCCTTCACTATTGTTGTTTGCGCCCACTGTTGCAGCCACTTTGTCAGTTGTTTCGTGGTGTCCTCGGGGGCTAGCACCTCCTGATAATATCTGCAAAGTATAGGAGAGCAACTTTCCCAGTCCCCAATTCCAAGTACAGGAGCATTCTGGCTGTATTTCCTCCAAGACAGAATTGTTTACTACCCTGGCAGTCCATGGTCATTTACATAGTCTAAGAAACCACTGTAACTCAAAGGCATCGTGGACACAGCTAAGCGGAAGAATCTATTGATGTAAAGCTATTAACAAGGTATCCTTTTGTTATCCTCTTCTGGAATCTCACCTCTCTCAGTCCTGAAATTGGTTAGTGTGGTCATCTTCTGTTTTCCTGATCTGCTGGTAAACGTTTGGATTGGTAAGCGTAAACGTTTACGTGTAAATTGTTAAATGTTTATTAGTTTACCAATCTTACCTACTTCAAAGCCAGCCTTTAGTTTTATGAACGATTTTCTATTGTTTTCCTGTTTTCTATTTTATTGATTTCTGCTCTTACATTTATGTTCTCTCTTCACTTATATCCCACTCCTCCTAGTTCTTTTTTATTCAATTTTAATATATCATTTCATTGGATCTTTCTAGTTTTTTTCTCTTTTTTTAAATCATTTTATTAGGGACTCACACAACTTCCATCACAATCCATACATGCATCAATTGTGTAAAGCACATCCGCACATTCATTGCCCTCATTATTCTCAAAACATTTCCTCTCCACCCATCTTTCTAGTTTTTTAATGGAAAATTGAAAGATGAGGGTGTTGCTCTAGGACATTTCTTCTCTTGAGTATTGGTTTGTATTGCAATAACTGTTCCTCAAGTATTGCTTCACCTGGATCCCACAGAGTTTAATATGTTGTGTTTTGAAATTGATCAAATATGAAATAAGTTGCATTGATAATTACTGGCAGGATGAATCCAGTGGGCTGGCCTTTTATCAGGCATCTATTGCCATGGGGAAACTCCAAAAGTGATGGTTCTCCTTTCAGTTTTGTTGAAACCTCCCAAGGATCAAAAAGTTTCACTTTGCATCCATTTTCCCTCTTTCTTTCACAAAGATTTTGGAGCCATTGCAAGGGATTCAGCTCTACATACCAACTAAATAACCCACATGGAAACTCTAACATACCCTGCTTGGCTACCCAAAGGAGAGGAAAATTCAACTCTACCCCATTTCCATTGGCAGAGATCAGATTGGCTTGTAGGCGCCTTGTGGGAGTCTGCATGTCCCTCAGCCTGTGGTCTGCGCCATCCACTGTCTTTAAGCTTTCCATTCCCGGATGTTCCCTGGCCTATTGTCCTGCCTGAGTTTGGCCTTTGTGATGATTGGTGCTCGGTGGCAGGCAGCCGCCATGCTCATTGGACACCTCTGCCAGGTATCCAATTGCACCTCATTTGCATGCGGACCTGTTTGAGGACTGATGCCTGCCATTTCTTCCATATTTGGTAGCTGCGTGATTATTGGATACTACCTGTTACACTTTATTAGCAGATGATGTAATGTTACCCGCCCATCATTGGGTATTTAAGCCTCTGTCTTCTGCTCAATAAACGAGGCTTGATCAGAATACTGTCTTGCCTCCGTTTCTCGCGTCTCTTGCCCCTCTTCATTCCCAGTCCCTTTTTCAGGTATCCACGTTGTTTGATGACCTGCGGGATGGGTCAGCGCCTTCCTTATTATTTTGATTCTCTAGATACCACTCCTTGGTACCAATTTGTGTTAGGCTAGGTTTTCTAGAAAAACAAAACCAGTCACACTCATATGTACAAGTAAGAATACCAAGAAACAAATTAATATCAAGGAAGCAATCCAACCCAATCCAAATCAATCCAAGTCAAATGATAGCTAGAGGCTACTCCAGACTTATGCTGCGGCCAGAAGAAGCCGTTGATTGTGGTTACAAGCAAGCTAAACTCGACAACTTCAGCATTTTCTTCATTTATCGTGACGTTACATATTGGTCCAATGATAAGGATTTTAGTCTTACATTGACCAAAATCATACTGGAAGCTACAATCCTTGATCTTCATCAACAAGTACTTCAATTCCTCCTCACTTTCAACAAGCAAGCGTGTCATTTGCATACCGCAGGTTAATAAGCCTTCCTCCAATCCTAATACCTCACTCTTCTTCATATAATCCAGTTTCTCTAATGATTTGCTCAGCATATAGATAGAACAAGTGTGGTGACAGGATAAGACCCTGCTACACACCTTTCCTGATTTTGAACCATGCGGCATACTGTTGAATACCTTGGCATAGTCAATAAACCACAAGTAAATATCTTTCTGACATTCTCTGCTTTGACCCAAGATCCAACTGATAATCAGCAATGATATCCCATGTTTCATGTCCTTGTCTGAATCTGGTCGGACAGTTGGCAGTTCCCTGTCAATATACATTTGTACCCATTGGTGGATAATTTGTCCATCCCTTTGTAACGCACACCATGCAAATAGCCTATATAAAAAAGCTAGTACAGAGAATTGGTCACTTTTGCCGTAGAATTGGAGACAAGAGCAACTCATCTCAGAAGCAGGAAGACAGGATTATCACTATCACCAAAATGATACAGATACCAGTGACGCACATGCCAAATCCCTGCCTGAAGTGCCTGAGGCAGCAGAGGTGCTAGAGGTGCACCCTAAGACCACAAAACAGAAGAGAAGAGACACTGACTGACATCCTGAGCCAGAGCAAAGGACAACACAAGAGATCATGTGGCAGGGCAATGGCTTCTTACCCCAGAGAACAAAACAGAGGCTAAGGAACTACTTGACACACGCTGATAACCAAAGAGAGACATACATGGCTTCTGGCTGAGAAGCGGTGTTGTTATGGGAAAGTGCTGTATTGTTAATGCTTGCTCATCCTGACTTATGGTAACTGACTAATTTCCCTCCTATTGTTGCCCTGGAGACAGTTCCAACCCATACTAACCCAGTGCACAATAGAACAAAACACTGCCCGATCCTGCACCATCTTCACAATTGTTCCTATGCTTGAGTCCATTGTTGCAACCACTCTTTCAAATCGCATTGTCAAGGGCCTTCCTATTTTTCATTAGTACTTCCTCATGTAATGCAACGTTTCTGATCATTTACTCAGTTATTCCCCTAACAGACCCCGAGTACATGAGTATTGTTTCTGAGTCTGTGTCGCCATTGCAATGGATTGTCAAACCCAGAAGAGAAGTAGAGTGCAGTGGGAAAGATGGTAGGTGTCAGAATAAGGTCTGAGTAAGATGGAAGAGGGAAGGCATGTGTGCCACAGCCTTGTGGCAATTGACCTGGGGCTGGCGTGAAGTTGGATTCTCCTTCTACCTTGTATAGCCAAAGAAGATCATGCCATTTTCTCAACATTCAATGTAGCAAATATATTCTTGAGATGGTCTCCAAATTCAGGTGGAATGTACTCAAGATCACATTTTGTCTTTTGTGGAGTTGTTTTCATATTCTTCAATTTCAACCCAAACTTGCATATGTGGAATTGGTGTTTTTTTCTACAGTCAGTCCTTGGCCTTTGTTTTGACCGATGACATGGAGACTTTCCATAGTCTCTTCCCACAGCTGTAGTAAATTTCATTGCTATGTATTCTAGCTGGTGAGATCCAGGGATATAGTTACCCTCTATGTTGTTAAATAAAAGATATTTGCAATGGGAAAGCCATTGGTCAGACAAAATTCTATCATGCAATCTCCAACTCTGTCTCTATCACTAAGATCCTATTTTCCCACTATGGCTTCGTCCAGTTTGTTTCCAGCCTTTGCCTTCCAATCAGTAATAATTATCAATGCATCTTGATCGCAAATTTGATCAATTTGAAGTGGAACAAATTGATACCATTCTTTAAGGTCTTCATCACTGCCTAGTGGTTGATTCATATATTATCTGAATCATGATCCTATTAACTGGTCTTCCTAGTAGGCATATGGATAGTCTCCTGTCACAGACAGCACTGTACTTCAAGACAGAAGTGCTGAACTATACTGAAATCAAACTCTCGGCTGACAAGTTCTTTTCAACTCATAGAAACTCTGTAGAACAGAGCAGAGCAGCTCACACTGGAATCTTAATGGTAGCAGACTGCCTCAGCTCTCTCCCAAAGAGTGGCTGATGCGATCAACCAACTCCCTTCTTGGTTAGCAGCCCAACACTTAACCCACTTTGCCAACAACTTCTAGGATGGCTAGTTTTATTTTATTTATTTTTTAAATTGTCTTATTAGGGGCTCATACAACTCTTATCACAATCCATACATACATCAATTGTGTAAAGCACATTTGGACATTCATTGCCCTCGTCATTCTCAAAACATTTGCTCTCCATTCAAGCCCCCAGCATTAGGTCCTCATTTTCCCCTCCCTCCACTCTCCCCCACTCCTCATGAGCCCTTGATAATTTATAAACTATTATTTTGTCATATCTTGCCCTGTCCGACGTCTCCCTTCACCCACTTTTCTGTTGTCCATCCTCCAGGGAGGAGGTCATATATAGATCCTTGTAATCGGTTCCCTCTTTCCAACCCACTCTCCCTCTGCCCTCCCAATAGGCTAGATTTATTTTAAAGAATCAGCTCACACAATTGTAGGGGCTGGCAAGTCCAAAATCTACAGAATAGGTGGAAAACTGGACACTTAGGCAGCATTTCTATATTACAGACTTAAGATAGAATTTATTCTCTGGGGAACCTCAGTTTGGGGCTATTGATGCCTTCAGTTAATTGAATAAGGCCAATACAAAATTATCAAGGGTAATTTTCTTTACTTAAAATGAACTTATTTTTAATGTCAGTCACATCTAAAACATTTAGACCAGTGTTTGAACAAACGGAGCACTATAACCTAGCTAAGGTGACACATCAAATCAACCAGCACATGTCTCCCAGGTTACTTTATCCTGACTTTATTAACTTACATACCCAATGCCATCACACCAACCCTTTCTGCTGAATCACCAGAAAAAAATTACTTTCTGGAGAAAAAAAAAACATTTCTGGAATATTTCTGGAGGCCAGGAATGCTCTTTAGAGACATGCCAATGATCATCAGGTGAAAGGGCTCTCTTGAATAAAGGACAAAGGACTTTCTCTTCTATGGAAGAGAAAATGTACCAGAATTGACTCACTGAAGAAACTAAAGAATTTGCAGTGAGATCCTGGCAGCTTTACTTTCTGGAGCATGCGTGTACTTTAGTACGTTCAAAAATCTGTCTTCAAAGCTTCACTACACTTGGCTCAGCTTTGCTATATATTAGTAACAGAGATGTTCCCAAAAAAGGAAACAGAACTGCAGTTTCCACCGCATTGTGAGACTACTTTGGATGCAGTATAGCTCTATAGCTCCAAATAGAGGATTGATTAAAATAATAGCTGTTATTATTTTTTCTAATATACAACAGGGATTAAGACCTGAGGTTACAGTGGTAAACAAGATCAAGTAGAACAAATTCTACCATCATGTAGCTTACAGTTCAGAGGAAACAAGTCTTTTTAGAAGTATAAAACAAAGGTTTTATTTCAATGTGCTAACTGTGAAAAAGAAAAATATAAATTGCTATTATTAAGAATAACTGAGATCTAATCTATACTGGAGGTGCAGCAGCCAAGGAAACACACTACCCAAATCTCCTATAAGAAGAATATAATAGACAGACAGCTATCCCTACCTTGGCACTTATGACCTACCACTCCTCTGAACTTCAACCTGAGTATTGATGCCAACTCTTTATCTGCAGGGTCCAGCGTCCTCAGAGGCAGTTCTGGCTTGTGAACTCGCCCACTGGCCAAACCAAAATTTTCTCAAATCAGAACTGGAGTCTTAAGACACTTTCAACCCATTTTCCTTCTTTTTCCTCTCCTTCCATAGATGTCAGAGCTTCATTGATGTCTCAGGCTCTTTATGGCTACTCTTGGTTCCTCCTCTTTGATCTGGCCATGGTGATTTCCTAATAAGTCTCTTGTTTATCTAGTCTTGTATTTGCATATTTTCATTCCCTTTTCAAAGGACCTAAATGAAGTACTGGGAGGTGAGGGGAATGTCAAAGAAGTTTTCCCTGAAAAAAGAGCCTTTCAAGCTGAGACTTAAAGAGGGGGAGTTAGAAAGGACATTGGCCTAATCCCTTGTGCATGGATGGTGCTCACTAAACATTGATTGAATGGAATGCTAAATGCTTTGTACCATATAATTATTTCTCAAATAATTTTGCAAAAAGCATCCTATTATTGTCGCTAAACTGAAAAACAGAAGAACAGAGCTAAAAAGTCACTTACCTACAGATAGATAGTAATAATAATAATAATAATACAGCTAAAGATTCAAACTTAAGTTGGTTTACTTCC